GGTTACAGTTATATAGAAAATATCTACGAGGTCTGTCCAGAAAGCGTCCAACCATGTAACATGAACAATAGAGGCATTTACTGAAGATGATACAAGATACAAGAAACACTGTACACAGGACAAGGATGTCTCAGTCTCCTTAAAGTAGGCACTTTGGGACCTCACAAAGTTCTCCCAATTGTCATCAGCTGCCCTGTCTTATTTTCCTTAATCTCATCAACAGTCTGAAATCTCTTCCCTTTCAAAGGTGATTTTAGTTTTGGGAAAAGCCAGAAGTCTCAGGGCACCAAATCTGGGCTGTAGTGGGGCTGATTCACCTGGGTGATTTGATGTTTCACCAAAAAACTCTTCACGGGATGTGATGCATGAGTGGGTGCATTGTTATGATGGAGCTGCCAATCACCAGTTGCCCATAGCAGTGGTCTTCTGAATCATCCAAATAGTTTCTGAGGAGGAATGTTCAAGCTAAACGCAAAATCTGATGCAGATTTGTCGCTCTACTGGCTCACTTGCTCATCTTGAATGTGACGGCCACAGAGTATACACACATGCTCACTCAACAGCGCCTGCCACCCATAACTAATACAGTGAAGTTGTCATTGTTCATGCATGTGTATCCAGTCCACTCTCAGCTGCCAGGCTACAGCAACGTCACACAAACTGTTCTTGTTATATTAACAATATTTGGACTTTTTCCAGACATACCTCATATTAAAGGATGTAAACTGTCCAAGGGACTGCCGAAACTGCCTGCCTACGTACACATAGTATATGAGCACACAGCTACTATGAAATCACCACAAAAATATTCGAATTGTCAGCTCATAAAAATGAGAAATTAATCACCACTTCCACTTCTAGGCAATACATGCCATCACCAAATAGTCAAAAGAAGTGCCCACTCTTGATCCACGTTATGCCAATTCCTATCTAGGGAGAGCGATAAATGAAAGGAAAAAAAGGAAAACATCAAATTCTTGGCAAAATGATACCTTCCAGTCATAAGAGACAGCAGTTTTAAGGTAAAAACAACCAACAGTTAGGAAAAAAAATCACCAAAAATGTGGTGAAACCATCTCTTCGGTCATATACAAAACGATTTGGTTTACTTACCTATTTACTATCAGCAAACAGAAATGCCATACCACTTAACTCCCAAAATGCTGAGAAACAGAAACAAAAGTATATAAACTAATTAAACCTATTTACCTCATGGCAGATCAATCTTCCAGGTTTAATTTTTACATCTCCAATACTGAGGGGACCACTAAATCATAAGTTCATAAACAAAACAAACAGCTATCATTTTATCCAGCATAAAACTTCAGGATCCTAAGAGAAGATGCTTAGAGGTATTTTATGGCAAGTAAAAGTGAAAATGAAGCTGGGAATTTTTACCCATTCTGACAAAGTAATTAATATTTAATTCATCTTCATAACAACTTTAAATACCATTATCATCCACATTCTGCAGATAAGAAAAAGGTTACTTTACCTGAAGGTAAAGTAATCTGCACAAGGCTGACAGCTAACAAGACAGAACGAGGATTTGAACCTAGACAGTCTGGAGTCTGCCACTATTTCTAAGTTGCCTTAGAAAAAACTTTAACACTTTCAAATGAAAATGACCGTAAAACTCAGGTAAGACTTATCTTTCATAAGTGTATATGAAAGCAGCAGCTCCGATACAGATAGTGTTTATGCATCAGATTCTAAGTGCATTTACTGTTAACCTTCTTAACCCTATGGGATAGATATTAATATTATCCTCATATATATTACTATTATTCTCAGTTTACAGATAAAACTGAGACAGAGGTTAAAAAACTTGCCCAAGGTCATACAATTAGAAAGTGGCTCAGTCTGAGCAGGCAGAGTCCAAATTTTTAACTATTCTTTTTTACGCAACCTTGTATATAAATGCACCTTATCATTATTGCTCAATCACTGCTCTCCTATTTTTTCCTTTCCTCAACTCAAAAGGCTAGAATAACCCTATTCCCCTTACTTTGCTTAACTGCATATTTTTGTAAATCCTATATATTTATATTTCCCATAGCCAATCTGACAACAAATATTCTAGTGCCAACTTATGTACACTGTGTTGCTGCTGCTAAGGAGAAAACTGCCAATAAACACAATGAATCTCTCATCTCCTCTGAAAAATTAAAAATTGTCATACAAACTAGACAATTAAGAATGAAATGGGTGAGACATCTGTTCCAGAAAACAGGTGCACACTATGATTGTCCATGACAAAATGGAAGGTTTGGTCTCCCTACCTATTTTATAGTTTGCGGTATCTAGTGGTGTGAAATATTAGCAAACTGTGTGCTACACAAACCCCAATCACTCCTGACTTTGTCCTAACACAGAAAATGCTTTTCTCAGTAACATATAAACCAAACCAAACTTAACTCCTCATCTTTGGAATCTGGCTTTATGCCTACAGTTCATACCCTACTCCTAGTAATATTTACCTAAAGTACTCCCTGTCTTTGGTTTAGAGCCAGTAACTTATAAATAGAGATATTTTCTGAACCAAATATTGGTTCAAATGGTCTAACAAGGCAACGGAAAAGGGAGAAAACATGAGTATATGATATTCAAAAGTTTCTTTTTCTCGCATTTACCTAACACATATACAGTAGAAAATTTTTTTTTGCAAAAGAGCAAATATGTAGCATACCTATTTGCATTTTATCATTTGTATTCCTTTAAATCTTGCATGTAAATGAGTCTGTATTTTAACATACTGAGCTCTTCACTCTTGTTTTAAAAGTTTTGTTTGTCCAATTAAAACTAAACTCTTAAACTATAAAACATTTTTAAATAAAGTAATTATCCTGTTTCATTCACCCAAATCAGAGCAAATTACAAGAGTAACAAGGTTAGAATAGAACTCAGTTACACATCTCTTAAATCAATACTATCTCACAGTAGCTATTGCAATTACCAGTGCTACTATCATGTAGTTTTGATAAATTTACCAAAAATATTTAATAAAGTACAAATTTCAGTAGTTTTGAAAGGCAACTATTTATATACTAAACAATTTATATCACAATATTTATTTGTGATGATCAAGTGACAGTGTCTGTAAAGCCCTTACCTAATTATAATGTATTACAAGGCTTATTTAACTAATAAACACCATAAACACAATGAACACAACCTAATTCTGTCAGAAAAAATTATTCTTCTCAAATTACAGATAGGAACTTGAGGCCCAGAAGAGTTATCACTTGCCTCAGGTAATACAGTGAATATCTCAGTCCAGGATTCCAAAACCCTTACAGAAAACTACAGTGCATTAATACAAAAGTTGACCATGTTTTCAAGACTGAAAACCTCCCTCAAAAGTTAAACTTTAAACAAAACTTAAGCAAAACACAGACTATAGGAATGATAAAATGCTATTAACACTATCAGAGTTACAGTCATTTTTCATTTTCATTTAGGGACATTTAAAGAGGAGGTTAGAATCTTTTTTATAACTTCAAATTGACAGCTGGATTAGTATTTCTCAACTTCTACTTTCCATTCCTTTGCAATACAGATTCAGACCCCATTTCTAACTACAGGGTCAAAATCTCTTAAGCTCCTAGGTAGAAAAACAAAATCACAGATTTGAAATGTTCATGTCTAGTATTAAGGATCACTTTCATTAACTGGGAACTAGTAATAATATGAGGCTGGCATATAGCCCAAACAAACCAAAATTGATACAAAATAGGTGAAAATTTCTACTGGTTTTTCACACACTGAATTTTGAAGCAGCATAAAGTACTTTTATATCTTTATGTTCACCTTTGAGCATTTTATTCCACTATTTACACTTCAAAAATAATTTTTACTTCATTTTCAGCCTATTATATCTAAAAATATTTTACTTGAAAATGTTTTTATTCATTTTTAAATTATGCATCAAGTTGCAATAAATACTCCAAAATCCAATTTTTCGAAAATCACTCAGCTATTCACTTAAATTCTTCTTGGCAATCACTTCACAATTCATTTAGGCACTTCTTTTCTAAGTCACTTTTTATATCCAGCCACTGATATCTAGTAATTTTTTATAAATAATTATTTAAGCTATTGGCAAAAAAACTGAACACTTTGTATAAGCATACTGTTTATGATTATTGTAATATAAAATTAATGAAAAAATATCTAGGCAAATATCCCACTATTTTCAGACTCTAAGGTTAACCTAATGTAAAATGTTATCACCTGAGAAAGCAGAAAACTTTGGAATTCAGATAAATTATTTTTAAGATTATGTAAGATCTGGGGAAAGGGGAAAGTGGGATTTGATTAATGTGTACAGAGTTTCAATTTTGCAAGATGAAGCGTCCTAGAGATGGATGACAATGATGGCTGCACACCACATAAATTTACTTAATACCACTGAACTACACACTTAAAATGGTGAAAACGATATATTTTGCTATGTGTATTTTACCATAATTAAAAATAAGTTATGTGAGTTACTAGAGCACCTTAGGGTGCAAAAAACTCAGTGCTACCTAAATAAGCGGTTTTAAACATTTATTTTTGGGGAAAAGGTCAAATAGAGACAGAAACTCAGGAAGGGAGGGAGGGAGGAGGAGGAGGGAGGGGAACACTACCAAACATCTACAGCAGACATAACTGGCTGAAAATATTAGATGGGGAAAATGATGTACAAAGTGAATAAAATGTCAACAACCATAAAACACATGAAGAACTGGCAAACTGTCTCCTTGGTGCTCAAAAATTTAAATAACTCCCAAGCAGACAGAAGGGAGCTGTTTCAAACGTACAGATTTTGTTATAACAAATTATGTTGGGACATACAACAATTCTGTGACATTTCCAAACATTTTTACCTCTTCCCAGAGAGCCATTGCATGTTCTCTTTCACAACAGAGGTGAGAAGAACCCCCCCCCCCAATAAACTACTAAAGTAAATATAACTCTTTGTCTGTAAGACCAAATTTTTAAAAAAGTGACATCTTGTGTTCACTTCAGCAGCACATATACTAAAATGGGACCCTTACAAAGATTAGCATGGCCCCTGCACGAGGATGATACGCAAATCCACGAGGCATTCCACATTCTTGCACTAACGAGCAAAAAGAGGCAGACTCATGGACAGCAGGATGACAGCTAAAAGTGGGGGTGGGGGTAAAGGGGGGGAGGGACTGAGCAAAAAGGAAAAAGGACTCAGGGACATGGGCAACAAACAGTGTGGTTACTGCGGGGGTAAGGGGAATAAGATGGGGACTAAATGGTAATAAAAAAACAATTAAAAATTACAAAATTAAATTAAAAAAATTTAAAAATTCTAGGGTAAAAAAAAAAAAGTGACATCTTAACAAGCCTGACACCTAGTAAGCACAATACGTGTGCATACCATTATTATTATACTATTACTTTTATCATTATTATCTATCCCACTGATTCCAGTTAGAAATTAATAAGCTGGAGGCTCTCCAGAAAAATGCACTCAAGTAAAAGATTTTGAACACAACTGCAGAAGATTCACAGATCCCAGATTACAGAAGTCCAAAAAATATGATCAACATGCAACTCAGTTAAAGTGGTTCTTAACCTCTCCTGTGCCATAGACCTCTTTAGTTAAGTCCGATTAACCTATGGACCTCTTCTCAGAATAATGTTTTTAAGTATATTAAACATTCAGGATCACAAAATAAGCCAATTACATTATATTCAAAGTATTTTCAAATTTCTAATTTAGTAATAATGCATTAAATAATTTTTAAATATGTAACAAAGAGTAATGAGCATAAATAATATTTCAAGATAATCTGTCAAAACTACAATACAAAAACATTTATTTTGTTGCAGCCATTGAAATTTCAAGAATTTTCATTTCTAGAGTTTAATTAGAAGCTAGTACAAATAAACAGGCAATGATTTTTCCCCGTCAACCAAGTTCATGGACTTCTTCAATTCTGTTTAGGGATCCAGATTAAGAATTTTGGCTTAGGGGAAAGTGCAAAAATAAGTTTTGGTGCCAGAGATTCATATTCTGGAAGCCAGACTTCAGACTTTAGTCCCCACATTATTCACACCTGAATGACTTTACACATCAAACTTCTGAGCTTGGTTTCACTTACTTAGAATAATTCCTATATCATAATGAGGTTATAAGGATTAAATATTAGTTAACAAAATGCCAAATGACCAGTGTTTCTTTTTAACTGGTTTTATGATTTTAATGTCATATATTCAGCCCCAAGTATTTAGTGACATTGTTCATTTTCGATAAACTGGTTATGAGAAAAATTTAAAAACCACATACTGATTCACAAAGAAAATAATTAATGGAAACATTAATTTTCTGTTAACAGTTTAGTGAGAGCCACGATTTGGCATTAAAATGAAATGTATCTAAATTTCAATTACACTATTTTTACTAAGTTACTTAACCTCTCCACCTCAGTTTTCTCATCTGTAAAATGCTACATTGTTGTTTTAAAAAAGAGAGAGGACCTAGCTTAAAATCTCAACAAATAAAACTACTATTCAAGTTCACATTTTAACAAATCCAAAGGAAGCAATTTGGAATCAAAAGTTTATTTTGGAATTATGTTGATATAAATAAAACTTCACAGTCCTCCTTTTGCCTGGTGAAACACATACACACTTAAATCTGCAGCATTTAATCGGCATAACGTTCCCAACACAAACAGGCATTGTTTAAAATCACATCGGATTACTTATTCTGCCCAAAGAAAAACGAGTATAAAAATCGGTAAACAGAATGGGTTCAATAATTTTTAAACTTTTCACGATTTACTTGTAATGTTCCAATGAATGTTTATTATCAATGTTGGACGGTGATACTCTAAAGTAGCTACGTCAATTTAAAACCCAATTTAAAAATCTCACATTTATCAGATACACTGATTAGATCAAAAAGTGAGAGAAAGTATTTTCTTTACGCAAATATTACAGAATAACATCCCGCCCTTCTCCCGAAGACTCGCTTATTTTCTTTACGCATACATTACAGAATAAGATCTCTCCTTTCCCCCGAAAAGATTCGCCACAGACTGGCCGATCCATTATACAACCTGTAAATTCCTTCCCTCATTGAAAAGATTCTTTTTATGGGCATAGTTAACAAGTGCCAAGTTGCGAAGTGGCAGCTTCGCCGGTTTGACGTTTTCACAATGCAAGAACAGTATGATCTGGAATCTACTCAAAGCTTTAGCCAGGCAGTCAGCTGACGCTCACTGCACACAAGAGAAAGACAGAAATAAGAGAAATTAAACCTCGTATTTGTGTAAGGCAGGTATCCACTACCTAAAATTAAAATAGGCCAAAAGGAAACGTTCCACATATAAGTAATAAAAGTATCTGCAGTGTTAAGTAACAACACAAAAATAGGCTTTCCCCGGACTAGGCTTCTCTCATTCTTGGAATTTTCCTTGCAAAAGGCTTTTATCCGTTCAAACAGCCAAGCCCTCACCTCGGAGCCGCTGCTTAAGTAACTTTTACAAAAGGTCAAAGCGGTGCCTTTCAAGGGTTCTCCTCCGTTCACAGTAACTCACTTTTCCACCCACAGAACGTTCCAGGGACCTACGGACGGGGACCAAACAAAATCTGGTGGGGGCTGCTAAAAATACGCTTTCAACTTTCTTTTCAAACACACATGCCGAATTTCACCTTCCTCCCTCCTAGGCCCCACATGTTGCTTGCCTCTCTCCCAGAGGGCCCCGCGAGACCTCACTTCAACCCCCAGAACGCACCCACCTGATTACCCTGTCCTCCGCTGACTCCTCCCCCCCGCACTCCCCCGCCCCGCGCCCTGCTCCTGTTTGCCTCCTTTAGGAGATCCATATGGGACACTTTCCCCTTCCTCTGATCCTCCCGCCACACCGGACAAGTCTCGCTTCTCCACCTTCAACGTTCCCCTACTCCAGCCCTCACCTCCCACAGCTCCCTAAACTGGGAAAGCGCAGAGGTGGAGCCGCAGGCCTGCGAGGCCCAGGTGCTGTGTCAGCCTATCTGCCGGTGCCGCGGCGTGTACGGCCTGGAAAGTCACATGGCGGTGGGACCGGCCGGCGCCTCAACACTCCTGATCTTTCAGGGAAGGACGAGATTACCAAATCCACTCACCTCCACGAAGAGCAACATATCTTCCCCCGTTTGGCCCAATCGTTCTTGCCGCTGCTACTCCAACTGGCTTACAGGCCCGAGCCCCACACGCTTAGGATAAGGACACTCTTCTGTCCCCTCCACCCGGCAGTGGACCCGGCTCCTCCCCCGCCGTCAGCCGCTGCGGCCTGACCCGCCCAGTCCCACCTCCTTTAAAACAGCAACTGTTTCCGGTTCAAAAAACCGAATGCTTCCGGGAGAAGAGACGACCCGTGGCGCGCACAATTTTTGCACCACCTTTTCCAGCAGCAGTATGGAATATACTATCATTTGTCCTAGGGGGAGGAGGGAAGCGATTGAAGAAGGCACTATTCTGTGCTACGGGGGTGTATAAAAATCTTACTGTATTTCATCCATTGCTAAACAGATAGATACCACGGCCATAGTTCGCAGTTTTCATAGCTCAAAATCTAGATCTGATAAAAAGCCGACCTTATGCGAAGTATCCAGGGTTGTTTTTTTTTTTCTTTCTTCTGTATGTGTGTGTGGGACCGAAGTGTTGTGAAGGAACGCCCAACCCTGCCTAAAAGGTGTCTCAGAAAAAAAGTAGGGAAGAAAATTTTTTTTAAGGAGCTGTAATAGGAAACGTTAATAGTAGCTGCTCTGTTACATGCTTACTCTGTGTTTGGAACTATTCTAAGTATTTTACGTGAATTAATCCGAAAACCATCATATGCAATAAATGCTATTATCCCCATTTTACAGGTAATTAAGCCGTCTGGGAAGGCAGATTTCTGTTAGACACACCTTTAAAGAACTTTGTCCATGATAGGTGGAATCAGGAACCCCCATCTCTGCTTAATATGGTGCTACTTTATAATAGTCTGAATAACCTCTTCTTGATGTAAATGAAATATAATAAAAAACAAAAAAAAAGCTTTAAAGTTAAAGTAAGCTTATTACTCAAGCAGTGAGGCAGAAGGTTACTCCACAGGCAACACAGCCAAAAACAAAATTTTAAAAAATTATCTTTATAATTTTCTGTTAGATGATCCAAATTCCTTATTATCTTTAACAATACCTAGTAGGATTTATCCCTCCCTTATCAGTCCCACTTCTGTATCCTAGTTCAGGTACTCATTTTTTGAAACAGTCATGTCTTGATCTTTTCCAGTGGATTTTTTTCCCCATTCTATTATAAAACCTTCCTAAAATGAAGGTTTTATTTATACCAAACTGCTGTTACTGGCTTTCAAGACCATTCTGATCCCATGTAATTTTCCTACCTTACCTCAAATGAATCTCCTTACTTTTTCACTTAGATACCAAATTAATTCACCCATCAAATTGCTGGTACTTGTGTCCCATACGCTTCCTAATTTGTTCACCAGTAAACTGAGCATTACTTCATCTCAATTAAACCATTCTCCTTACTTTCCCTGTGAAATACAAGCTTGTCACTCACCTCCGAAGCCATTGCTCAAAGTGTCTTCCATATATGGAACGCCTTCATTTGTCAATCAACTTTCTCTCTCCATAAGGTTTTCCCAAAGACTTTGCTCCCCACAGATCTCTTCTTCATGTCCCTTGTTAGCACTTGAATATTACAGTCTCTCTTAAGTTATTTTTTTGTTGTTGTTTTTTTGTTTCTTCACAGGTACCCTATCATATTTTTCACAGTCTAGGGTAATGGCAGTCACATAGTAGTGTCAACAAATGCTTGTCAAATTGAAAGAGGAGAGAGGTGTAAATTTGCTTTAAAAAGTCTTCATTCCCAATTGCTGATGAGTTCCATGCTGCATAAAAAAATATGAGAGAGAGCACAATAATGCTAAGTTAGTTTAGTTGACAAGCATATTGGCTGCCTTATGGATACCTATTGGACTAAGCAATGTAAAGAAATCAAGAAAAATAAAAGTAACATAATATTACCAAAAAAACCACTTAAATTAACTGATAATGACAAGAAATGCTAGATAATGAATAAGTTAATCAATTCCCATATTTTTAAGAATAAGTAATTTTCTTTAATTGTGATCCTTTCAGAAAACACGAACTTCCTTGCATAAATTCACTTAATTGTGATTCACAGAGAAGGAGGGAGTAATAGTTTATGATTAGGGGCAGGGTGAGCAGTCTAACAATACAAGAAATTATTCTAGGGCTTAGAAAAATTTACATAAGGAACCTAAAACAAAATAAATATCCAAATTCAGATGGTTTCTGTAGAGAAACTGAGAAAGAATATACCAAATGTTAGGAATAGAAAACTAAGTGTAGCCTCCGGTTTTCAGTTCACCAACTGGTAGATAGAGACAAATAATACTTCAATGAGATAAGCAATAGAAATTTTACAAAATGATTTGGGAAAACAAGAAAGTAGCTTAGACAACAGGATCTTAAAGAGAAAGACCTAATTTGCTCTCTGTATATGGATACTTTCAAAAGACAATTATTTTATGATCCTCTGTCTCCCTTTCTCTGAAGATCTGCAACATACCAACTGTTTAACTTCACAAGTTTACAACAAGACTCAACATAGGACTAAATTTACAATAAGTTTACAGTAAGGACTCAACATAGAAAGCTCTTATAGAGAAATTAAGTTATACGCCCACAACTTGTATAAAATCTAAACTTACAAAATTGTATAGTTTATGAATACATGCACCTGTAGTAAAACTACATAAACATAGACTAGGCATAAATACATCAAATTCATGGTAGTCTTTGCCTGTAACAAGGGACGGAGGGGAAGTAAAGAAGGAGTCTGGGGAGAACATGAAAGGGGACTTCAACTTTATCTCTAATGCTTTATTTAGCAATATCTGAAATGGATATGACAAAATATTATTTGTTTATTCTAGGTGATAGGCACACAGCTATATGACATATCACTTTCTGTACTTTTTCACATTTTTTTAAATTAAAGTTACTCAGCCAACACAACCACCCTCTCCTTTAATTTCTCCAGCTTCCCAAATCCTTTCACGTCGTCTGCAATCAAAGGAGCTGACCAAAGTATTCCTTTCAGTTAGAAAGTATCCTCTAGCATTCCCTTCAATTTCTGGAGCCAACTACGAAATTCAAAGCCTTCTTTAGTCACGTTCCTTAAAAAAATGAGTAACTAGGCAGTGCAAAGAGTACGAGCATCATTCAATTAATATCTTCTAAGTTACTACATGTCAGGAAAAGTTGAGGGGCAGCTGAGGAAGTTGTAACACAATTATTGCATTACAGGCTTAAAAATTCTTAAGCAAAATTTCAAGAATAGAGAAAAACCAGGAGTTACATTTGATAGACTGGATCTTATATTCTAACACCAAGATTTTAAGCTCATTTAAGCAGGGCTATATCTTCTATTTCTTTTATCATTCCTGTTGTCTATTCTTTTCTACCCACCCTCCCCCCTTCACCCTTCTACCATCACAGAATATAGAATGCCTAGTTCTCTGCATATAATAAGCACTCTTTAAATCTTTGAGTCAATGATAATGTCATAACGGGTCTATTATGACATCACCAGAACCAAAACACCATAGTTAGCAAAAAATTACTGGCAGGGTAAACCACAACCTCTGAGATCAGGAAAGACCTCTTCTAGCTTCCTCGTGGACAGGTTTATTAGCATTTGCCTATATTCTGTGAGGGGAAAAAAAGAAGAAATAAAATCACTCAACTCTTCACAATACTGATCAAAATGAAAAATAAGGTAGACAATGAACATGAATCAGAAAATGAAGTTGCAAATGACACCATCTTGTCCAGAAAAGACCTTGGTATATCAGAGGTCTCTAGACTTGAGATCCCTTTCTCAGTGCAGCAAGTCATCTCTGAGATTGAGCAAGCACAGATCTCTCGAGCCAAACAGGTAGGTAGTACATGAGAACCTTACAGGTTGCAACTTTTTTTTTTTTGACTTTCCATGATGAGCTACATATTTTTTTTTTAAACTCACTTTATTTGCATGGTATTTGCCTGTGTTTGAGGTTAACTTTTATTTCAAATGACAATTTCACCTGACTCTGTGGATAAACAAGCTCCAATTTTATATTCATCTCTTTCACTTTCATTTCAGAATTAATCAAGCTTTTAAACAAATAAATCACATGTGCTATTGAATAATTGAGATACAAAGACAGAATGTCTACAAAATGTCTTTAAAATGTATAACTAATTTTGATATCTAATTTTAGTCAATAGTTTTCCTTTTTTTCTCAACTAAGCTTTTATCAAATAGCTATTAGCAAAGAAATAGATTGCTTTGAATTCTAGTTCCTTTTATTTCTCCTGAACACTTCATGGAAGAGGAATTTACTGGCCAAGAGAAATCCAAACACAGTGAACAAAGAGCTTAAATAATGTATCAAATAGACCCCCAAATAATTAGGGCTATACTGCATTTTATTCTCTCAGGCAATACAACAAAATCAGTCAGATTAACAAATTAATTCAGGGGAAATTTTCCTAGGTTTAAGGAGTGCTAAATGTTGTACTTTCTTATTCTCCACATAGGCTTACTCCTGCTAATAGCAGTGTTTGCTTTTAACAACTTTATTGAGGTATAATTGACATACAACAAATCGTGTATCTACAAATTAAGTGTTGATAGACATAGACACCTGTGAACCCTTTATCACAATCAACATAATGAATTTCCCATCATCCCCAAAGGTTTCTCCAGGCCCCTTTACAATCCCTTCCACACATCCCTCCTTGTTTCCTGAGCCCAACCCCCAGCCAACCACCAATATGCTGCTACTGTAGATTATTTTGCATTTTTAAACAATTTTATATAAGTGAAATCATATAGTATCTATTTTCTTCTGTCTTCTTTCACGTAGCATGATTATTGACATTCATCCACATTATTGCATGTATACATATCAATGGTTGATTCTTTTTTATTGTTCAGTATTTGTCCATGAGATGGACACTTGGGTTGTTTTGGGTTTGGGGTTATTACAAATAAAGTTACTATGAACATTTCATACGAATATGAATATATTCATAACTTACGAACATGAGCTTTTGTTTCTTTTGGATAAATACCTAGGTTCAGAATGGCTGGGTAATGTAGTATGTAAATATTCAATTTTTAAAATGAACTACAAACTTTTAAAAAGTGGTTATACGATTTTGTGTTCCCACAAGCTGTATATGAGATTTTTCAGTTGCTCCTCATCTTTAGAAACACAGCTGTTGATATGTTGAACACAACATATCTCTCCATTTATTTAGGTCTAATTTTTCTCAGAAGTGCTTTGCAGTTTTCAATGTTTATATGTGTTGCATACCTTTCATGAGATTCCTAAGTATTTCATTTTTCACACTATTATTTTCTAATTTCCATTTTTAATTGTTCACAATCAATATATACAAATACAATAGTTTTTGTGTATTAATCTTGTATACTGAAACCCAGTGATTAGTCTTCATAGATTTTACTTGTACATTTTTTAGATTTTTCTACATATACAATCCTGTCATATGCTAATAGAGGCATCTTTATTTTCTCCTTTTGTGTCTGTGTATCTTTAAACTTTGTTCTAGTTGTACCGAGTAGGCCAGGACCTCCTGTATAAATTTGAATAGAAGTAATGAGACATCCATATTTTGTTCTTGATGTTTGGAGAGAGCATTCAGTCTTACACCATTAAGTATGATAATAGCTGTATATATTTTATAATGCTCTTTATCAAGTTGGGGAAATTTTCTTCTTTTCCTAGTTTGCTTATTTTTAATAAGGAATAGGTACTGGGTTTTTAAAGTCCTATAATTGCATATATTATGAAATGACCACCACAATACATCTGGTTAACATCCCACACCATACATGGTTACAAATTTTTTTTCTTGTGATGAGATATTTTAATATTTACCCTCTTAGCAATTTTGAATATGCAATACAGTATTATTAACTATAGTTATTATGCTGTACATCATACCTTCATGACTTATTAATATTAGGTTTATCAAAAGCTTTTACTGCACTTAGTGGAATAACCATGTGTTTTTCTCCCTTTGAATCTATTAATATAGTAAATTAAATAGATTTATGAATGCTAAACCAGCCCTTAATTTTTTATATAAACCCCACTTATAATGTAGCATACTTTTTATCATCTTTTATTCAATTTGCTAAAATTTTGTTAACAATTTTTGTGTCTATGTTTATAAGCTATATTAGTCTATATAATTTTCTTGTAATGGCAACAGATTAATGCTAGCTTTATAGACTCAGGTAGCATATTCGTGACAATTTTCTATAAGAGTTTGTTGAAGAATTCCCTTTTATATGTGTGGTAGAAACCACCAGAGTTTCAGTGGGGTAGGAGGAAAACCATTGGAACCATCAAGGCTTGGGGTTTATTTCATGGAGAGGTTTTAAACTACAAATTTAATTTTAAAAAACCATAGGTCTATTCAGGTTACCTTATTTCTTCTTCAGTGAGCTTTCTCAATTTGTGTCTTTCAAGGAATTTTTCCATTTCATTTGAGTTGTTGAGTTTATTGGTCTAAAGTTGTTCATAATAACCTCTTATTAACCATTCATTATATGTAGAATCTTTAATAATGTCACCGCTCATTTCTGATATTGGTAATTTGTCTTTTTTCTCTATTTCTGTCTCATTCTCTGCTTATCAGTCTAAAGGTTTATCAGTTTCTCTCTCTGCTTACTAGTCTATAGGTTTATCAACTTTATTGATCTCAAACAATCAATTTTTGATATCACTGATTTTTCTCATTGCTTTTCTGTTTTACTGATTTCCACACTTATCTTTATTATTTCATTTACACTTTTTACTTTGGGTATAATTTACTCTTATTTTTCCAATTTATTTTTAAATTTAAATAATTTTTAACTTTTCAATTACAGTTGACATACAATATATTAGTTTCAGGCATACACCCCAGTGATTAGGCATTATTTAACTTAGTAAGTAATCATCTTGAAAAGTCTCATACATGTGTGACCCCATACATAGTTATTAGAATATTATTGGCAATACTCCCCATGTTGTACTTTCTGTAACCACAAATTTCTGTTCCTTAATCCTTTCACCTTTTTCACCCATCCCCTAACCCCCTTCCCATCTGGGAACCAGGAAAATGTTCTCTGCATCTATGAGTCTGTTTCTATTCTGCTTGTTTATTTATTTTTGTTTTTTAGATTCAATTGTTGATAATGTGCATATATGGCCATTATATTATTCATATTTTTGCCCTTTTTCTTCTTCTTAAAGAAAATCTTTTAACATTTCATATAATACTGGTTTGGTGGTGATGAACTCCTTTAGTTTTTCTTATCTGGGAAGCTCTTTATATGTCCTTCCATTCTAAATGATAGCTTTGCTGGATAAAGTAATCTTTGTTTTAAGTCCTTGCTTTTTATTACTTTGAATATTTCTCGCCAATCCTTTCTGGCCTGCAAAGTTTCTGTTAAGAAATCAGCAGACTGTCTTAATGGGATCTCCCTTATAGGTAATTTACTGCATTTCACGTGGTGTCTTTAAGATCCTCTCTTTGGCCCTGCCTGGTGTGGCTCAGTGGTTTGAGTGCCAGCCTGTGAACTGAAAGGTCACTGGTTTGATTTCCAGTTTGGGCACATGCCTGGGTTGTGGACCAGGTCCCCAGTTAGGGGCATGTAAGAGGCAACGATTTGATGTATCTCTTACACATTGGTGTTTCTCTCCTACTCTTTCTCCCTGCCCCTCCCCTCTCTGTAAAAGTAAACAAATCAAATCTTTTAGAAATAAAAAAAGATCTTCTCTTTGTCTTTGATCTTTGGCATTTTAATTGTGATGTGCCTTTGTGTGGGCCTCTTTGGGTTCATCTTCTTTGGAACTCTCTGTGCTTCCTAGACTTGTATGCTTATTTCTGTCACCAGGTTAGAGAAGTTTTCTGTCATTATTTTTTTTTTTTTCAAATAGGTTTTCAATTTCTTTATTTCTTTCTTTTCCTTTGGGCACCCCTATGATGCAAATGTTGGAAAAGCCATGAAGTTTTCTTAGAGGCTCCTTACACTATCTTCATATTTTTGCATTCTTTTTTCTTTTTGTTGTTCTGATTGTTTTTTGCTTTCTTATATTCCAAATTGCTTATTTGAATCTTAGCTCCATCTACGCTGCTGTTGATTCCCTGTAAAATATTCTTCACTGCCGTTAATGTATCCTTCATTTCTGACTGATGCTTTTTTATGGTTTTGTGTGTGTGTGTGTGTGTGTGTGTGTGTATTTTCTTTCATGCTGTTGAAAGTTCTCACTAAGTTCCTTGAGCATCCTTACATAACCATTGTTTTGAATTCTGTTTCTGGTAATTTGCTTGCCTCCATTTCATTTTGCTCTTTTTCTGGAGATTTGTCCTATTCTTTCATTTGGGACCTGTTCCTTTGTCTTCACAGTTTGTCTGCTTCTATATTTGTTTCTATGTATTAAGTAGAGCTGTTACATCTCCTGGACTTGGTAGGTGGCCTCAGGTAGTAAATGTCCTGTAAGGCCCAGTGGCTCAGCCTCCCCAGTCACCTGAACTGGACACTCCAGGTGAACTCCTATGTGGGCTGTGTGCACTGTCCTGTTGTAACGGAACTTTGATTGCTGTTGGTGTCACTGGGGGGGAATAACCCCTTCAGGCCAATAAGCTGTGAGAACTGAGAACTGGCTGCAACTACAGCAGAGTTACTGCTGTTCAGGGGTCAATCCTATGGAGTTGGACTTGCTTCAGTGGGTATTGGTGTTCACTGAGTCCACCACTTCAGTGTGTTGCTCGTGGAGGTGATAGGGCTGTTATCTGGCGTGGTCTGAAGCTGTCCACCAGGTTCACTGGCTCTGTGGCCTCCTAGGAGTTGCAAGGTCAGCCACTGCTGTGCTT